AAACCACAGCCCAGCAGTCGCGGTCAAAAGAATTCCGCCATGAAGGGGTTAAGTGAGAGGACAGTTTACAGAAGCTACGCACGCACACTCTTGTTCACGCACTCTTGTTTTACCTACGAAGTGTGGACATTCCTTTGTTCTCCTGTGGTTAAGGTAAATGCTCCTTTTTCTCCCACTAGGATAACTCCTTCAAGCTGGATTTTTGATGATGATTTCCTGGACTGTTCCTCTTCATTTTGCCACAGATAACCTTGACCCCAAAATGCCTCTGAAATTGTTTTTCAGAGAGGGGAAAACATTCTGTGGACGCGTGCAAGTCCACGCAACGCCATCGTACCCTACATTATGTGGACTTCCTTTGTGCAGAGGTCCACACTATGTATGTCACGCCCGCACACATTTTGAGTGAGTCCACTGTGTGCTTAAAACCATACATTTGCCTTTAGAGTAACATGTCCTTTCTCATAAGCAAAAAGCTGCAGACCACAACAACAAGTATCACAAATTTTTTCACCAGTGTAGCTAAGGTTTTTAAGAATTTTTTTGTTGAGAGAAAGCGAGTACAGAGGACGCATTAGGCGGTGGGACTGAATTCAACGAGGTCAAGTGTGATTTGTTCTCACAGATTTTCCCAAAGAACAGGGCACACAATGCTTCGGAACTACCTCAGTGAAAGACAAACCCTAGTATAAAAATTCACAATGTTCTGGTTAAACACTGAAAGTTTCTGACATTAATAAAGTGCGATAACACTGAAGACAAAGTCTGATCTCTGTAAAGACACTTCACATTTTAGCAACAAAATTTAAAGGTAAAATAAGCACAGCAGACATACGATGGCCTTGTGAGCGAGCGCTTCTTTTCACAAATATTATTTCTATGATTTGCTCAGTTGGATCTGAGGACAACCACTACTACCAATGTGCATACTCTCAGCAGGCGGTGGTGAGAAGGGCAGCAACACTCACCGTTCTAGGTCGCTCCTGGCTTGCTGTGACTTCTCCAGTTCTTGTGATGTGGACTGGAGCCTTCTGTCAACAGATTCAAGCTGGACAAACAATTGGAGACGATTCATATAAACTAAAGAAACGAAACTCCTGAGAGAACTAAATCGACCTTTTTTTTTTCTAAATGTCTCGACAGACGACAACCAACCCTACCTTTGCCTGCAGCTTATCGGCCTTGTTCAGCTCTTTCTCCACAGAGCCGTGCAGCATAGCATTCTCGGTTTTGACGGCCATCAGCTGGGAGTTGAAGGCCATGGTTGCATGTGCCAAGGCCTCCTCGCTGACTCTCTGTGAAGGAGCAAGCAGCCAACTTATTAACAATTTCACCTTGTCCACGTAACCTGCTCTCTGCCTTGACTAGAAGTACCCCTTACCGTCAAGAAAGGGACTGGATGGACGAAAGTTACTCAACAGGGTTGATGCACAGATCCAGCATACCCCCAAAGACTATTATTTTAATCAAAAATGAGTCACAAGTGCCCAGTGGATCCCATCCCAAACACGAATGAACCAGTACAAGAGGTCATTTCCAGCCACTGGGACACTGTCCCTATTGACCGATTCGATGACGCCATTACTGCGGTGTCTCCGTCACTCAGGCGCGCATTCCTAGGCTTGATAAGCAGGTGATTTTGGTTAGCAGTGCACTCCCATAGGCTGATGAGGAGGCATTCAATCTGCATCTCTTTGTTCACGCGCATGGGGACACCGCAGTAATGGCTCCTGGGTCTTGTCACCGGATCGGTCTATAAGAACAATGTCTTGTTCTTGTAAAGAGTAGATACAAGAAGCAAAGGCTGCGCCACAAAGAGTCTTCTCTTTGATACCAGCATTTAGTGGTGAAATTAAAAACACAAATCAACTGCCAAGCCTCCCGTAAGCCTTTCCAAATCCACACTTACAATTTCATTCTTGAGTTCCTCTATCTTGTTGGCGAGTTCCTCATTCTCTGAGGTCAGCATACCCTGATCATCTCTGTGTCGCATCCTTTGTCGCTCTAATTCAACCTTTAGCAAGGAGTCAAATTTTATAACATTCTGATAATATCAGATGTGGATATTTGGTGAAAATTATGTAGTGTGTCACAGTTTTAAACTGTTGTCTTATTTTTTATTTCCACAAAATTATGTCTAAAATACTTTTAAACTGTCCAAAAATACACCATTAACTTAAACTTCAATTGGAAATCCAGAAATCACCAGCATCTCTAATTGTTCTTCAATAAATGAGGTCACAAAATACACATATCGGATCAATCTTGGTCTCAACAATGCCCCTTAGGTTACAAAGAGAAGTGAATTTAACTTTTGTTGATGTAAAATAGCATTCTCACAAAATTTACCTTGGCTCAACCACAGAGTGTAAATATAACAAGTCTCCAATGGCAAAGGAAACAGAGGATTTTGATGGGGGTGCACATTCAGTCTAAAATCTGGACCCCTTGACCTTTGAGCTACCTTGAGGGCATTGAGTTCCGTCTTGAGTCGGTCACTCTGGCTTAGCACCACCTTGCGGCTCTCATCAGCTGCCTCCAGACGGCTGACTGCCTCCGCCTAAGGAGACAATGCGAGGGGTGACAACCAATCAAACTCATGGCAAATTACAATGATGTGATTGACTGTAACTACAGTCTTGAACCAGTAATGTTACGCAGAGACTGAGCGCGTTAACCCTTCAGTAACTTCAATTTTCTTAGTGTCTAACTCTGTCCTGCCCACTGCAATTCTTGTATGAGCGATGTACAGTAACTTTTTTAAAGCTCTATATCCGGACTGCGTTTAAAAATCCAATTTTAAAACCTTTGGAGTTGTGTGTGTTACTCAAAGATGAAACGGATAAAAATGCTGGCCACATGAAGGACTTTGTTTCCTGGTCACTTCTGGTTACCAAGGAAACCAGCGAGACAAGAGAAAACTGTTCACCAAACATTTCGTACACTATATTGCTTTACATACCTTTTCTGCAAAGATTCTTGATGATTCCTGTACAAACAAAAAATTAAAACTGACTTTGTCACATGGATAAAGGGCTGTAGTCATATTTTAACTTAACCCATTAGTCTTCGGCTGGACTGTCACTAACCCGTCAAAAAACCACTGCAAGGCCTCTAAGCACCCTTCCTGTTATTCTGTACAATCCAATATTGTCCAGCACTCTACAGTTTATTGCATTCATAAGCATATAAATATAACAAAATAGAATAATAACATCTTAAGAATTTGCAAGAAGGTTTGAGTCCCTACCACAGCTGTAATGAAGTCAGTCACGATTTATCAATTAGTCACATTGCCTTGATTACTAAGGGACAAAAAAATGACAGTGGGCTGCCTATTACTGTTGGCATTTTAGGGTTAGAAAGACATCAAACTTATTATTCAGTTTTTCCGTTGCTTCATAGTTTATAAAGCACTGCTATGCTAACTGCTTCCATGAACGTGTGGGAAACCAATTCTTTGCCAACGTTTATTTTCATAGCAAACAACCAACTTTGGGGCTGAATAAAGTGGCTTGTTATTAACTTGTGAGGGCTTGATTGCAAACTCTGAATAAAGGAAAACCCGTCTGGAAAGTTGGGAAAACCTGTTTATATTTCCCTGACAGTTTAGGTACATATGAACTAAGCAACTGAATGACATCGTTTAAAAAGATTGTATAATCCCAAATAATTATTAGTCTATCTGGCATGTGGTGTACCTGATGTAAGGCATCTTGGGCATGAAGTTGGTCCTGAACTAATTCTTCCTGCAGAGCCCTGGCATGCTTCTCATGGAGGAGTTGAGACCGTAACTCGTCACGTTCCTCCTCAAACTGAATTTAGCAAATCAATTCATCTGGTTACAAGGCTACAAACAACCAGACGTGAGCTGAAGCCAATCAAAAGTTTTGGAAGATTTGCTTGCATTTATACAGGCCAGTTCGCAAGGGGAAACAAAATGAGTTTGTCAGTTTCTGCTAATCAAACAAAGTTCATGTGATGCACGAATTTCCGGGATGCACCATGTCAATCATATGGGTCGCGGGGCTGCTGAGAAGCAACACTCTCGCCAAACTCTCATTTTGTCTTCCAAAAATTACTCATTTCTGGTCTTCACTCCCTCTGCAGTGATGGAACATGATGTTTGCCGAGTTCTTAAAACCGGACAGCTCGCTGAGGTAAGACACCTTTCCCCCGCTAAAAACACCTTCAAGAGTTTTTAATCATGACAAGTTTCCTCTCATCCTTCTCAACAAATGAGCATGAATTCGGTAACATGAAAATACATTTTTATTTACAGGCACGCTTTAAAACTTAACAATTTCAAATAACTAGGTAAAGATTGAACTGCCTTATAATATAAAATTGAACAATCAAAAAAAAGTAGTCTTTCAAATTTTGAGTTTTGAGTTGACGGGCACAGAGGCAACATTTTCTGGGCATCCTTCACAAACTACATACCTGTCTAACGAGATTCTGAGCTGTCCTCAACTCCAGATTGAGATTCCGTGCTCCAAGCTCGGCTCTCTGCTTGGCTTCAATTTCACTGAAACGAAAGAATCAAATTAAATAATAAAGTCTACTCACTCTATTCTGGATAGGTATGCACCAACTCAACACTTCAATGAGTTCACTGAGTAAACAAGGAATCCTGGAGCCACTTACAGAGCGTACATCTCTTCTTTTCGGAGGAGCTGCTCCTTAGTCTTGTCCAGTATTACCTCAGCATTGTGTCTCTTCTCCAGCTCTTGGCTCAACTCATGTCTGTAATCATAAAAAAAGAAATGGAAAAGGATATTCGTCTCCATGGTGAGGAGAGACTTTAGAAAACTTGGTCAGAGTGGGTATAAACAGTCCCACTCTGTTTTTCTTGACAGAGTTAAGCAGTTAAGGAAAATAACTGGCTTTTTATGCCCAATTACGTCATCAAAAATTTCTTCCTGTGCGTAAAACAATACTGAAGGTAAAGGTGTGCAGCTTAGGTCCAACAATTCTAGATTTCTAGGCTGCTGATTACACATTTCACAAGCCTGCCCCTCACTTCACAAGAATTTTCATCAGGGATTTCGTACTTCACAAGAATTTTAGTGGAAACGTACTGTTTTAGGTGACAATGAACATCAAAAGAAAACTGCCTTTGCTGATTGGATGAAATTCATTTTGCTTTCATTTGAAGCATAAGTTGGCCCTTAGGATGACATTCACATTGAAAATAGTGGCTTAACATCTCCATTGAAAATTGACAAACACGCTCTGCAGGTCCAGCACAGGTACTATGGATATTCAGATCATATGGTTCTCAGAACATCCGCAGTGAATACTGCAGTAAGCATCAGTTAACGGCAGGAGGAATTGCTTGTAAAGGTGCATACTTACTCCAGAGTTCGGACACGGGCCTCAAGGTCCAACAAATGTTGTTCAAGTGCTGCTTTGCTGTGATTCGCTTCATCCACCCTCCTGGAAAAATATGGTGACAAAAAGGACAGGAAAATATTCCGAGAAAGCCATTAAGCTGGAAGTAACCAAGTACAAATGAATGAACGAGAATATTCCGAGTTTTGGGTAGATACATTAACAATTAAAATTTAGTGACATTGATGGCTCAGACTCACCTGTGCATCTCATCAATGTCTCCCTCTAGTGCCTTACAGTGATTCTCAGCGTTGATACGCAGGCCCTTTTCTCGGTCGGCAATGCGCCTCTGGTCCCTCAGCTGACCCTGTAATCGTAGGACGGCCGTGGGGTCTAAAGGAAAGAACACCACGCAATGCTCAGTATCTCTCAGTAGGATCACGAGGATGCACTCTGAGCAGCCATCAGCAAGAGGGATGAGATTTCAGGAAACTGAAAAAAACATGTCCCTCAATCCTCTATTTCAACAATTTGTTGCATCATGTATATCTACCGCATCTTTGCTTAATGATTTTTTTTTATTAAGTTCCGATAGGCTCTAATAACTTGGTCTTCTCCTTCACTGCCTCTTTTTTTCACCTGACCTTCGAGCCATGAATATTTCCATGGATTTTTCAAGCCTTCCTCAAGTGAAAGATCTCCACCGGGATCAAAGACTTTGAGAGATGTTTTGATCAATGAAAGCAACAATTGATGAAGCCCATGCGGCATAAAACAAAATGGCGCCTGAGAAGTTTTCCGTAAATGTGGGCAGTGTTAAGCTGGGCATAATGTTCAGAAGCTAGAAGCTGTGTCCTTGCCGTTTAATAAAATATACCCTCTACATTCTGTATGGCTCAAGACATGTGGAATGTATAAAATTCTGGACCATAATCGTTTTTTGCTGAGGAAGCCTTTTTTTTACTAATCAAATTACTGCACTTATCAGCTCTATGAAGCTGACCATGATGAGATCATCATTAGTCTGCCAGCCGCAGAGTCAATGTGGTGACAAAAAAGTTACCTATACACATAAGCACCAAACACAAGCGTCAAATCGCAAACTTTGCTGACAAGGCCAGAAGACGCTTACCGACGGGACCGTCTGGTGGTGACGTCCCCCCTGCATTCTGGTTGGTGTTCAGGCCCTGCGGAGTGGAGGTCAGGTAAGGGGAGGCAAAGGATGCCCGCAGCTCGCCTCCGTTGACCAAGTCCTCATCGTCATCTTCGTCAGTTGAGGAGGAGTCTAGTCCGTCTGGCTCGCTGAGAACAGCCTGCCATGCTGGCTGCTAGCCAAGTATTCACACATATTAAACATACCAGTATATTAGTTTTATGAAGAATAGTCTTAAAACATCGAACAATGAACAAATGACAAAAGCATGGAGCAGGAAGACTTCGGAACTGCCAATAAATGAGGTACAAATGCAACATGTAATGTAGCAGTATCAGTTGAAAGTTTTTCTCAGAATTCAATTTTACATAAAGTGAACTATACTATAGTAAGTATCATCCACAAAAGAGGGTTTTAATATTGGTGATTTAAGTGAAAGAGTTGCTTCAGAGTTGGTGATTTTGAACTGTGAGTTAGTCGAAGAGACTGTGTACGTTTCATGATTTTTTTAAAACAGATACTGACAAATCAGAAAGGTGTGGCTGTTAAAATGGACTGCTACATGTAGGTGGGTGGAACATCAGTTCAGTCACAGTATAAGAGATCAAGGTCAGAAAATTCTCCCTCTGGTTCCATATTCTGTTTAATGGAATTAGCAGCATCTGATTTTTTACCTGTGAGTGTAGACCAGGGGGGTTGCCATTGATTAGGGTGCTACGCGTCATTCGCAGGGATCTTGCTGTCGAGTGAAGTGGATTCTGAGGATTTTGCCTGCCAGGAAAAGACAGCAACATTTAGGAAATCTACACCTATGCCTATGGAGTGTTCATTTCACTTACTTTTGGAAACTTACTTTGGAGAGGAAATCTGCTTGACAGCTACAAATAATTATGCGCGATAAAAAAATTCCAAGTGCAAATGTAAAAAAAAGCTTAACACTTGCTTCGCTTCCAAGATTGTGTAATTATTAGATGATTACTGGAAAACAAACAAAATCAGTTTACACTTCTGAGACTCTGACAAACTTGTACTTTACGAAAGTGGACACAAGTAGAATTTTGACTATAAGGCAAAAGAATACTTGGTTTTAACACCTGGGATTACTAAAACTTGAGACGGTGAATATTTCGGGGGGGAGGGGGGGAATGAAAAAGCCTGCTCCTACCCACTCAATCCTTGATTGAACTCTGCTGTGTTGCCCTGTGAATCCAGGCCGTTACTCATGTTGGCGTTCTGTCTGTGGCCCCTTGGAAGTGCCGGCTGTGTGCCCGATGCAACCTGCTGCTGCTTCTGCAAGACAGCCGCCTCCATCTCCTGCAGATCAGCGTCAATGTCTGAGCTGTGATCATGGTCACCGTCTGCTGTCACCGCATCGCCAGCCTCCTCGTCCTGCAATCTCCTCTCGATGGACTTCTGATATCTCTGCAGGTACCTCTCGGATTCCTTCTTCTCCATCTCCTCTTTCATCCTCCTTATCTCTTGCCACTTCCTCTCGATGTCCATGTTCTCCTTCTGGAGGCGCTGCTTCTCCGTCGTCAGCTGCTCCATCTCTCTTGTCCGCTCCTCGGTCATCTTCTTCAACTCCTCCTCCCGACGGGACTCCTCCAGCTGCCTCTGGCGCTCGGCTTCCTTCTGCCTGGCTTCAAATTTCTGCCTCTCCTCCTTGAACCGTTGTGACTGGAGCTCAAGTTCCTTCTGCAGGGCTGTCTTCTCTGCGGTCTGGCGCAGCCTCTCATCTTCGAATTCTTCTACTTTACGCTGGATCGCACGTTGACGCTCTTCCTCAAGGCGGCGAATTTCCTCTTCGAATTGTTTCTTCTCTCCATTGCTCTTGGAAGAAATCCCCTGGAGTAATTCCCTCTGCCGCTTCTTGGCTTCATCTTCAATTCTCTTTCTCTCCATCTCCAGACGTTCTTCTTCCTTCTTGATCCGGTCCTCATCAAATTTTCTCCTGTCTTCCTCTCGCTTCCTATCATCCTCCAGCCTCTGTCTTGCTTCTTCGTTTTGGAGACGCAAGGTTTGCAACTCGTCCTTCTCCCTCTCTAACTTTAATCTTTCGTCCTCGTTTCTCCTCTTTTCTTCTTCCCGCTGTCTTTTTTCATCCTCAAGCTTCTTAGTTGATTCCTCTTGCATCTGCCTGTCCAACTTCTGTGTATCTTCAGCTCTTTTTCTTTCCTCATTGACTTTCCTCTCCATTAGGCGCCTCTCTGAGTCCAATTTTGCCCGCTCAGCTTCAATCCTCTCTAGCTCCATCTTTGTCTCCATCTCTCGCCGTTTCTTATCCTCCTCTCTCTTCAACTTCTCCTGTTGCCTTTCTTCTTCTAGCCGTCTCCTCTCCTGCTCCAGATGCTGTCTCTCTGCCTCATTCCTCTCCTCAACCGATTTCATCTTCTCCATCTCTCTCCTCAGCTGTTCTTCCCTCAGTGTCTGCTCCTCGTCATCCCGCCTCCTCTTCTCCTCCTGCAGTCTCTCGTCCGCCTTCTGTCTCTCCCGCATGTCCTCCTCCATCTTCCTTAAGCGCTCCTCCTCCATCTTTCGTCGCTTGTCCTCTTCGGCCTTCCGTTCTTGCTCTTCCTTTTTCCACCTTTCCTCCCGTTGTCTCTCCGCCTCCATCTGTTTCTCCTTCATCTCCCGCTCTACTCTCTGCAAGTGTTCTGCCTCCAGCTTTTTTCTCTTCTCTTCTGCAGCCCTCCTCTCCTCATCATTCTGTCTCTGCTCTGCTTCTTTTCGTCTTGCCCTTTCCTCTTCCTCTTGTCTCCTTTCCGCCTCCCTGCGTTCTCTTTCCCGCCGCTCCTGTTCTTCCCGTTCCCTTTCTTCTCTCTCCTCTTCTTCCCTCTGTTGTCGTTCTCGCTCAATCTCTTCTTGCTCTCTGCGCAGCTCGGCCTCTGCTTCCAATTTTCGTTTCTTCTCTCGCTCTGCTTCCTCCTCTTCCCACCTTTGCTGCCGACTGACCTCTGTCTTCTGTGCCTGCTTCAACTCCTCATGGATGCTTGCCTTTACAAATACACAAAAAACACAAAGACACAAATTTACACTAAATGAATGCTGCCCAGAATTATAATAATCTAACTGTTATGGCCAATGTGAATGAACCCCAAACCCCCAAAGTAAAAATACTGATGAAGGGTTGAACATTTTTTTCATAACTGACACTTCTAAATCCTTCACTTCCAAATTCAGAGTCACACAAAAGGTCTGAGTTTCCGTTTCAATTTGGCCATCTCTTAGCCGCAGGGCTAACACCAGGGAGGAAACACCTGCTCATAATGGCTTCAATTACACGAACAATGATCAGGCTAACAGAAGCTTTTTCAAGGAAAGTGCGAAGACAGTCACGCTCACTTTGCACATAAGGCAGTTTCACACGTTTGGTGTCTATTGCATTTTGCCTGATAAAGCAACCAATCCTGATATTTAAGCTGAATCTGTGTAAAGCTTGAGGCACATTTTTGCACACTCAACACTCAGATTGACACAAGTGGCCCAACTGCCAACCTGCTAACTTCAACAAGCTGTGAGTAAAGCTTCTTTTCTGCTCAACATTTAAGATTGTATATATAAGTATATATTTCGAATAAAACTTAGTTTGTCATGCAGCATACTTGTGGCAACAAAGTACCCAGTTCTATTGTAATTCACTTTAAAAGAGGACAAAGTTCTCAATGATTGGGAAATAAGGTCTCTTAAGGTTCTTTTCGAGGGCCTCACGGAATCTTTCATTACTGAATGCTTGAAAATATCACAGGTTTTTATAAGTTGTAGCATTTGTTAGATTTCCC